GATAAGGATGGCCTGTAGGCAGATGGCCACCTTCTATAATAAACATGGAAAGAACAAGGAGAACGTTGTTCCTGGATAGAGAGGATTTCCTCCATCTGGTCCAGCAGCCCTCTAGGGTATCTGCCATTAATTCTGTCAGATTCCTTCACCCAAACTGGAGATGGAGATGTAGCTTGTGCTGCTCCTGCTGTGAGAATCAATGAGTCTATCAATATTGTGATACAAAGGATGCATATTCTCAGAATAGTAGATAAATTTACGATTACAGTCATTGTTTCTTTCAGGCAGGTGGTGTACACCTGTGATTCCAACACTTGCAGGCTGAGGTAGGATCTTCACTATGAGTTCCAGATGAGCCTGGGCAACATAGTGAGTTCAAGGCCAGCTGGACTGCATAGCCAGACTGTGTCTCAAAAGCAAAAATCAAAAAACAAATGATAGAAAAGAGTGAAAAGTAGAATCCTTGTTCTGGCAACTGGTCACATGGCCATAGCTGGTGTTTATAATCACCTTCTTCTGCTACCCACTCTGTGTTCCCTGGCCTTCATCCATCACCTCAGCCAGTCATGGCTCTTCTCCTATTGAAATGATTAGAACTTCCTTTCTGAACTTTCTAGACCTTTTGTCATCCTGTTTGGATTGGGTTTTTATGATTTCTCATTGACCTTAATTAGCAAGGCATGGTAAGGAGATTCCCTAAGAAAACTCTGACACTCCAAGTATATTCTTTGTTTTCTACACTGTGGAAAAACATTCCAATTTCCCTGTGAGTGTCTGGATCAATTGCCCCTGCTCCACTACATCTCTCTTTCTTTCTTGTTTCCTCAGAGGTAGGAGAAGCCCAAAATGACCAAGGTGACACTTCAGCTTGCAGTTCTATGAAATCGTCATTGTTCTGCGTGGTACCAGCTTTTCGTCACTCTGGAACTAAGCTATCTAGTGCAGCACAGCATACATTTGTAGGAACAGGAAGCAGACATTTTCTTGTGGATGAGTAGGGATAAGGGTAAATGGTATTTTTCCAAGTTCCAATTCTTAATTCCTGGACCCATCAATTGTGGCTTTGGGAGAGAAATTACCATAGAGTGCACCCTAATTCCAAGCACGTAGTGACTTTTGAAAAACTTTGAATCAGTCCTGGTGATATTTTTGGTGTCCGTAACTACAACTTCAAAGGATCATTCCTATGCTGCATTTCTTAGAGCAGCAGAACTCTGCTCTTGAGAGCATTCTGTGTCTACCTTTGATAAATTCTTCTGCATGTCACCTAAAAAATAAAAGACCAGCTGGAATAGGCAGTCATGCCTCTTGCTGATAGGACCCCTACACTATAGGGTATCTTTTTAATTTTTTTCCTCCTTTTATGCTTGGTCTATCTTTGCTCTAGCTCATTTTCCCCCTACCCCTTTGGGTTTTGTGCCCACCTTTAAACAATCTGAAAATTTGCTAACATTAGTATAGCTTGAATAAATAAACAGGAACTCTATACCATTTGGAAAGCTACGAAGAATGCTTAGCTGTGTAGATAAATCTCATCCAATACTCCTTCAGGTGATTATGATGAAGAGGGGAAAAGAAACATTTCAGCACTACAGCACCTTAAAGCATTTGGGTATGAGTGGCACAAGAGCACGTGGGCCCCCAGAAGGCACCCATGAACAGTGTTGCGATGCCTCATGTGTACTAAAAGGAGAAGGCCAGCTCAACCAGACAGCAAGAATCCTACAGAAAGCTGAAGATCTTTGTTAGCAATCATTTTTACAAGTCCATGGTGGGATGGAGGAATACCTACAGACAGATCTGGCAAACATTCATTCATATTCAGGTAGCCTACATGCTGTTGCTTCAGGGTCGTACAAAGCAGGCTTTGCAGATTCACATTCATATAGTAAAACTCAAACCCACAGGTATGGGATTTACTAGCTTTAATTGCAAATAACAGGGTTACCATTAATAAAGCCTGCACTGTCTCTGACTTCAAGAAGAAGGTGAAATTAACCAATACAGAAGAAGTTGAGTTTATGCTTTCCAAAAAAGAAACAACTGCTACCTATCGAATTACACAAAGTTTTCCTTGATATTTACCAAAATAGGCAGAGCAATGCCACAAACTATCTGCTGGTTTACACTTGCAAAGTCCTGAGCATCTGCTGTCTGGGTTAATCCAAGCTGCCCAGATCTGCTGGTAAAAGTGCTCACAAAAGTTGTGGAGCTGTTTCAAGAATTTTGAGATCAGCATCTAGAAAATGCAGCTGAAATTAAGCTAACCATTCTACAGTTGAAAATTTCACAAGGCAACATTTCAAAAGCATGTCTAATATTCATGAACTGCAACGCTGTCTCCATGGACACTTTATCCATGAATTTTTGGGGGCAATGACAGGCTTCGCTAAAAGAAATGGTTGACTGCTGTCCACAGGAGAAGTCATGCTATCCACATGATGTTGATATTGATGATGAGGAGGAGGATGATGAAGATGAATTGGTTTTCTGAGACAAGATCTTGCTATGCAGTTCAGGCTGTCCTTGAAATCACTTTTTATCCCAGGTTGGCTTCAAATTTCAGGCAATGCTCATGCCTCTGCCTCCTTAGTGCTGTGATGATAGGCATGTGCAGTCATACCTAGCCCACCTGCTTATTAAAGTCCTGTTCTGCTGAGGTCGCTTCTTATAGCTTTTGCATATATGGAAACACTCACATCCCGCTACATGGATATCTTTGCAAACAACATTCCGTTCAAGTCTCTGACAATTCAGTACAACCACTGGCTGGAGCTTATGAGTCACTCCATAGTCACATATCTGGCCACATTTTCTTCCAGGCAAAATGTACTCCTAAGTGCACTGTACAAAGTTCTACCCATTTGTGTGTGGTGCCTGCAAAATGTACAGAATCATCTGTAAACCAGGCCTTAGTCTCTTCTTCCTCTGCAGCTGATCATATAGTACATTCCATGAAGCCATAGGTGCATGCTGCTAAACTAAAGGCTATATAGTAGGATGACATGGGCATTTTGGCAGCTTCTGCTGGGGCTTGCTTGTGCCCTGTGATGCTGCCCTGCCTTGTGTATACACCACTTCCATTTCATGATCTATTGCTGTGCACGTACAACTGTATGGTTTAGTAGATCAGTAACACGTGGTTGTAATGGGCATCTTAGGTCACATTGTAGGGTAGGGTCTCTTGTTCAAGCATTCAATATCCACTAAAGCCAATAGCAGGGCAGGAGCAGCCTTTCAAATGGAGAATAGTTATTCATAGGGGACAGTAGAAAGTTGTTCCAAAAGTCTAAAGGCCTCTGCTCCTAATTACTTATTGAAGTCAGCCAGAGACAACAAACAACATCTTTATGTGCCACTGGCATGCCAAATCCCATTGGATCTGCTGGGCCATATGGTCCAAGTGGCACAGAAGGCTTCACAGCAACCTGGGCCTGTTGTAGAGCCTGTTGTCCTTCTGGACTCTAGTCAAACTAGCACCTTTCTGGTGCTTTCTCTTGTCTTTCCACGTTGGAACAAAACCCAGATACAACTTGATTGGATGTATTTGACTTCTTACTTGAGTCACGGTTCCATTGTCACTGTTTCAAAATGATATTGGGACTCAGAGACAAAGAACAGAGAAACACATGAAAGTCAAATTTTAGAGATTGCAAGGTTTTTCAGGAAAATGGAATTCAGAAGGTCCAATAGTGTGGATCCAGCTACATCTCAGGTGATAGCGTGTTCTGTAAGATGTTCTCACCATGGGCTGGAAACAACAGGTACACCTGGGACACCACTGAAAACAGGAGGTCTCATTCCTGAAACCGGGGCACTGCAGCGGCGATGACGGGCCAGGTGAGGAACAGAGCTGGGTGAGGAGGAGGAGGTGATTTAGTTTCCCAGGATGACAGTGACCATGAGGCCCATAGCCACGTCTGAGGGATATGTGTGACATCCATGTGTGAAGACATCACCTCAGCTCTGCCTTCAAGAAGCCTGCATTTATAAGCTTTGAGTGTTTCAAATAATTTCCTTCTGTTCAGGGTACAGTTGTTTCCCAGAACACCATAATGGTAAGAATGATGTTATTAAGAATAGAAATATAGCAGACTATTTTATAAAAATTTAGGAAAAGATATGTGAGTAAGAAATACAGAATGAACTGACTTAAAATAAAAATGTATAAAAAGAAAATTTGAGAATCTGTTCAGGATAAAAATGAATACTATGAAACAGGAGCATTCTTTCTTAAATATTATTATTATTGTAGTGATATATGGCTTGAAATCTGCATGGGTGTTTCAGAGGGGGTGACAGAAGAAGAATGGTGAAGTTCATATTAACAATTCCTATTTTTAAGATACATAAATAAAATTATGGCAAGCTAACCTGAACAGAAAGAGCTCAGCAAGGTCCCTGGATGCTGTTCCATGTCCTGTGGGCTGACCCTCTTCCTCCTCCCTGAGCTCAGGGCTCTACATATTGCTAGGCTGAGCCTGGGCACCAGGTCTCCTGAGGTGGCCAGGGAGAGGATGGGGCTGTGTGTTCTCAGACCATGTGGAGAAGGACAGGAATAATTTAGTTTCATAATCTGAAACATTTGCTCCTGTAATAGACAATCGCTTCTCATGATGAGAACACTAACAAATTTCATCTTTAGATATCGAAGATTTGACAGTCAATGGAAACTTAATTTCTCAAAATATACAAATTACTTTTGGGTTTGTTACCCTTTTAATAAAATTCATATGAAAGAAACAAAGAAAAACAATATTTAACAAAACTATAATTGTATCTTGAATATTTCATAAGTCATCTGAAGCCTGTGTATATGGTGGTCTCCTCCAGTTATGTGATATTAAGACAAACAGGAAATCCCAGAGGCCAACAGGAGGCTCTCAGTCCCCAGCTTCCTGCTCTGCACCTGCTCTGAGCCCTGCTCGGTGGAGACCCATCGCCCCCTGCTGGTCATAAGCGCCCCTGCAGGAAGGTTTGTGTCTGGGCTCACAAGAGCATTATTTCACTGTGTCTGCAGAGCAGTAATACAGGGCCGTGTCCTCGGTTCTCAGGCTGTCCATTTGCAGATACAACGTGTTCTTGCCGTTGTCTCTGGAGATGGTGAATCGGTCCTTCACGGAATCTGCGTAGTTTATATCACTACTATCACCACTGATGTATGAGAGCCACTCCAGCCCCTTCCCTGGAGACTGGCGGATCCAGTGCATGTAGTAATCACTAAAGGTGAATCCAGACGCTGCACAGGAGAGTCTCAGGGAGCCCCCAGGCTTCACCAAGCCTCCCCCGGACTCCACCAGCTGCACCTCTGCGTGGACACCTGAAAACAGAGAGATCATGCTCAGGAAACTGTCACACATATCCACTGTTTATCCCACTCATACGTTCAGCATCTCTTGCTTTTCATGAATTACCTTGAAAAACAGCAAGAAGGAAAACACAGCTCTTTGTGAACCCCATGGTGAGCAGTCTGTGCTCAGGCCTGTCACCAAGTCAGAACACTTGGGCTTCCAGGGCTGGGCTCCTCCCCAGAACTGCAGCATCAAGGCTGGGATGGTTTTTATCAGCAGCAGTAGGCCCTATTTGCATGTCCTCCTGCTATATAGACAGTTCTATTGTGGAAGCTTCAGATATCCAAGGGCCTAGAACACATGAGCGTGTTGTGGGAGAAGACTTTTAACATTACTAAAATGGCAGAAAATACAGTTTCTTCCTATGTGTCTATGTAGTGATAATCACTAAGCCTCATTGGTATTCCTTATTTCTACATCTGCATATAATTAGTACATTTGATCATTTCATATGTTTTGCAGATGTGAACATAGAGCAAGAAGCATAATAGACATATGAGATGTGAGCTGATATGTTCTAAAAAACATCCTTTGTATTTGCTTCTACAATCCTTTTCACAGTGCTCAACTGCTGGCTGAGAAATGCCGAGTTAGAGTGGTCATGCTTCATGACATTCACCAGACATCTTCTTCTAATGAGAGAACAGGACAGAATTTTTGTGCATATTAATATTTTCATAAACAGACAACCAGTATATTTCAAGTGTATATTCAAGAGTCTGACCCCTTCTTTTCTTGTCTGTATCTGTACCAATCTTTCCATGTTAAATTACTTATTTTATATTTTAATTTTCATTAATATTACCTGAAATACATTTTGAAACAAATATACAACTTGTTAAATATTGACATGATCATCCCCATGGTCAAGATATGTAATGCAGTAGTACTCATAAATTCTCCTGTAGTACTGCATAAAATGTCCTTCCTGTATGTTTTATTCTCTGTTAGGCTAAAATGAAAGAGTTATTCCTGCATGTAACAATCAGTGCTGATGGTGAAAAATTTAGCATATTAGTTTTTGATAACAGCAACAATCATAATACGTGGATATTCCAAAGCATCTGTGTTCTTAAGATTCAAACTTTTCTTTCTTGTATATGTAAGTTTTTACTGCCCTCAGACAGAAATTTTCATGAAAAAATAAAGATATGTATTTGTACATATGCAAAATCACTGAGAAAGAAGGTTACATATACCATGGACCCACTCCAAGAGGTGGGAAGCTTCATCTGGTCATGGAAGCTTCATCTGGACAGGGAATGCTGTCCCTGTGTGTGTGTGTCACCAAAAATACACAGCCATGACCTCAGCAGTCACTGTCATCAGCTACAAGGAGAACTGGTTATTGGATATCCATTCAAGTGGAGCTGTGCTTCTGGAAGGAAAAGTTAAATTCTGAAATTTTAGGAAAAATATCTTCTCAGCCTATCGTGCTTTTCCCTTACATATGAGGAAGTTGAAGACAGTGAGAACCTGAGGCCATGATGGAAACTCAGATAGTGCGAATGGTCAGTAGCTGCCAGTGCTTTTGCAAGCCAGTCATGATTCCTGCAGCTCTCTGGACAGGCATGTAGGAAAGACGTCATCACCATGAAATCACAGTAGCCAATCCCTTTCCTGGTGGTCCTTCCATGCTAACTGCCAGAAGTGGTCACCTCCTGTAAGTGCCAATCACATTTCTTATCCATTTAGATGAGCCCCAGAACTTGTACATTCTTTGCTGGATTATAAGAGCCCAGAGCTCTTGCCCAGACATGCAGGGTCCCACAAATATCCAATATCTTCTCTTGAGCTCTCTAGCATGAAGGTGGTTTGGAGAAGAAAGACCACCCTCTGAAGAGAAGGGAAAGAAGAGAAATTTTGTATGTATGTATATACAGGATAGTTAACATGGTTGTTCTACTATCTTCTATTTCTTTGCTGAAAGAAACTGTCAATGAGTCCTTGGTTGATCAGTATTGCATGTCTCTACCTGTTTTCATGCGAAGCCACTTTGAAGCTATCAATATGTAATACAACAAGCATTGCTAATTTCCTACCACTTTGTTTGTAACTCTGTATTGTCTGTACTGTTCTTTTGCTATTTTGTAAAATGTTGTCTGTCTGTTAATGTTTTCCTCCTTTTATTTTTAAAATAAAAAAATTGGAAAAAAAAAAAGACCACCTTCTGTAAACATGGAAAAAACAAATAGGACTTTGCTCCTGCATAGAGATGGTTTCTTCCAGGTGGTCCAGTAACCCTCAAGGGTATCTGCTATTGATTCTGTCAGATTCCCTCACCCCAGCTGGAGATGGAGAAGAAGTAGTTGGCACCGCTCCTGCTGTGAGAACCAATAATGATTCTATCAACATTAAGATACAAAGAACGTATATTAGCAGAATAGTAGAGAAAAATTACAATTACAATCCTTGTTTCCCTCTGGAGAGCTGGTGCATGCCTGTAATTCCAGCACTCTGGAGGCTGAGGTAGGAACTACACTGGGAGTTCCAGAGAAGCCTGGGCAACATCGTGAGCTCAAGGCTAGCTGGACTACATAGCAAGATCTTGTCTCAAAAACAAAAATAAAAAATAAAAAAGAAACAAAAAAAAAAAAGAAAAAAAGAATCCTTGTTCTGGTAATTGATCACACAACCATAGCTGGTGTTTATAATTGTCTTCTTCTACTACCCACTCTATGTTTCCCTGGCTTTCAGCCATCACCTCAGCCAGTCATGGCTCTTCTCCTGCTGAACTGATTGTGACATCCTCCTAGCTTTCTCAACCATTTGTCATCCTGCTTGGATTGGGTTTTATAATTTTTCATTGACCTTATAACAAGGCACAGTAAAGAGATGCCCTAAGGAGACTTTGGCACTCCAAGTGTATTTCTTTTCTACACTGTGGAATAATAGTCCAATTTCCATTTGATAGCCTGGATCAACTGCCCTTGCTGTACTATATCTCCTTTTTTTGCTTGTTTCCTCAGGGGCATGAGAAGTCCAAAATGACCAAAGTGAACACTCACCTTCTAATTCTATGAAATCATCATTGTTCTGCATGGTACAAGCCTTTCAACACTCTGGAACTAAGATACCTAGGTCAGCTGAGCATACATTTGCAGGAAGCAGAAATTTTCCTTGTAGATAACTAGAGATAATAGTAATTGGTATTTTTCCCAGTTCCAACACTGAATTCCTGGACCCTTGAATTGTAGCTTTGGGAGATAAATTACCATATAGTGCAAGCATTTAGTGACTTGAAGAATTTTGAATCAGCCCTGGAGGTATTTTTGTATAACTGGCCCTGTAAGTACATCTTCAAAGGGTCATTCTGATGCCGCATTTCTTTGATCAGCTGCACCCTGTTCTTGAATGAGTCCTCTATCTACCTCTAATAAATTCTTCATGTCACCTAAAAAATAAAGGAACAGCTGGAACAGGCAGTCATGCCTCTTGCTGATAGGCCCCTTCACTGTGGGGTATATTTTAAATTTTTTTCTTCCTTTCATATGTGGCCCATTGTTACTCTGAGCTTATTTTCCCCCATAATCTTTGAGTTTTTTTCTCACCTTTAATAAATCTGAAAATTTGCTAATATTCAAAAAAGGAATAGCTTGAGTAAATAAACAGGAACTCTATACCATTTGGAACATTATGATGAATGCTTAGCTGTATAGATACATCTCATCCAATACTCCTCAGGTGATTATGATGAGGAGAGGAAAACAAACATTTCAGCACATACTGCACCTCAAAGCATGTGGGGATGAGTGACTCAAGAGCACTTGGGCCCGTGAGAAGGCACCTATGAACAGTGCTGCAATGCCACATGTGCACTAATAGGAGAAGGCCAGACAACCAGGCAGCAGAACTCCTACAGAAAGCTGAAGATCTTTGTCAGCAGTTATTTTCACAAGTCCCTGGCACGATGGAAGAAGAACCACAGGAAGAACTGGCCATCATTCATGGCCAGGTGGCCTACTTTATGTAGCTTCAGGGTCATAAAAAGCAGGCTTTGCAGATTCACAATCAGATAATAAAACTCAAGCCAACAGATGTGCAATTACTAGCTTTAATTGCAAATAACATGCTTGCCATTAGTAAAGCCCAAACTGTCTCTGACTCCAAGAAGAAGGTGAAATTAACCAACACGGAAGAAGTAGAGTTTATGCTTTCCAAGAAACAACTGCCACTTACAGAATTTCACAGAGCTTTCCTTGATATGTGCCCAAATAGGCAGAGCAATGCCACAAAATTTCAGCTGGTGGACAGTTCCAAAGTCCTGAGCATCTCCTGCCTGTGTAATTCCAAGCTCCCTGGCTCTGTCAGTAAAATTGCTCAAAAAAAAGCAATAAAACTGCTTGAAGAATGCTCAGGTCAGCATCCAGGAAATACAGCTGAAATTAAGCTGACAATCCAACAGTGAAAAATTCCCAAAGGAATATTTCCAGAGCATGTTTAATATTTATGAACTCCAACACTCTCACTGTGGCCACTTTATCCATGAGTCTTTTGGGCAATGACAGGCTTTGCTAAAAGAAATGGTTGACTGCTGTCCACAGAAGTCATGCTATCCACATGATGTTGATGATGATGATTATAATGACAATAATTTTTTTTTTTTTTTGGTTTTTCTCCGGTACTGGGAACTGAACTTACGACCTTGCACTTGCCAGGCAGGCACTTTTGCCGCTGAGCTAAATCCCCAGCCCCAATAATTTGTTTTTTTGAGACAAGGTCTCACTATGTAGTTCAGGCTGTCCTTGAACTCATTTCTCACACAGGCTGGCCTCAGACTTCAGGCAATGCTCAGGTTTCACCCTCCCGAGTGCTGTGATAATAGGTGTGTGCCTACAAGCTCAGCCCACTTGACTATTAAAGTCCCGTTGTGCTGAGGTCACTTCTTGGTGAGTGTGTACATGGGATGCAAATATCTTTATAGCTTTTGCATATATGGAAATATTCACATTCCACTATACCAGATATCTTTGCAAAAATGTTTCTTTCAGGTCCCTGACAATTCAGTAAAACCATAGGCTAGAGTCCATGAATCATTAGGGAGTCACATATCTGGTCATGTTTTCTTCTAGGGAAAATGTACTACTAAGTGCACTGTCCAAAGTTCTGGCCATTTGTGTGTGGTGCCTGAAAAATGTGCAGAATCATCTGTAAACTAGATCTTAGCATTCTCTTCCTCTGCAACTGATCATTTAGTATATTCCATGAGGCCATAGGTGCATGCTGCTAAACTTCAGGCTATATAGGTGCATGCTGCTAAACTTCAGGTTATATAGAGGGGTAGGATGACATGGGCATTTTGGCAGCTTCTTCAGGATCTTGCTTGCACCCTATGGTGCTGTCCTACCTTGTGTATACACCACTTCCATTTCATGAGAATCTGTTGCTGTGCACGTACAACTGTATGATTTAGTAGATCAGTAACATCAGTGATTATAATGGGCATCTTAGGTCACATGTATGGTGGTGTCGCTTGTTCAGGCATTCACTATCCACAGAGCCCAATAGCAGGCCACGAACAGCCTTTCAAATGGAGACTAGTTGTTTATAGGGGATGGCAGAACCTTGCTCCAAAATCCTAAAGGCTTCTGCTCTTACTTACCTATAGAGGCCTGCCAGAGACACCAAACAGCATCCCTATCTGCCACTGGTACACCAAATACCACTGGATCTGCTGGGTTTTATGGTCCCAGCAGCACTGCCATCTACGCAGTAGGTTGTGTAGATCCTGTTGTCCTTCTGGGCCTCACTCAAACTAGCACATTTCTCGTACTTTCTCTTGTCTTTCCATGTTGGAACAACATCCAGACACAACTTCATTGGACGTATTTGACCTCTTACTTGAGTCACGGTTCCATTGCCACTCTTTGAAAATGTTACCTGACTCAGGGACAGAGAAGAAAGAAACACACAAAGCTGAAGACAAGTTTTAGAGATTGCAAGGCTCTGCAGGCAAATGGAATTCAGAAGGTCCAATAGTGTGGATCCAGCTACATCTCAGGTGATGGCATGTTCTGTAAGGTGTTGTCACCCTGTGCTGGAAACAACAGGTGTACCTGGGACACCAGTGGAAACAGGAGGTCTCATTCCTGAAACCGGGGCACAGCAGTGATGATGATGGGCCAGGTGAGGCGCAGTGCTGTGTGACATGGTGGAGGTGACTTAGCTTCCCAGAATGACAGTGACCATGAGGCCCACAGTCACATCTGAGGGGTATGTGTGACATCCATATATGAGGACATCACCTCAGCTCTGCCTTTAAGAAGCCTGCATGTATGAGGATTATGTGTTTCAAATAACTTTCTTCTATTCAGGGTACAAGTGCTTCACAGAACAGCATAATAAGAATAATATTATTAAGAATAGAGGTACATCAGATTATTTCATAAAAATTTAAGACTAGGTATGTGGCTAAGGAATATAGAATGAACTGACATAAAGTAAAAATGTATAAAGGTAAAATTTGAGAATCTGTTTTGGAAAGAAAAATGAGTATTATGAAGCAGGAACATTTTATCTTAGCTATTATTATTATTGTACTCATTCATAGCTTGAAATCTCCATGTGTGCTTCAGAGGAGGTGTTAGAAGAAGAATGGTAAGGTTTGTTTGATATATTCCTTATTATGAAGTTACATGAATAAAATTCCAGCAAGCTAACAGGGAAGAAGTACCCAGCAAGGTCCCTGGACACTGCTCCAAGTCCAGTCCGGCTGACCCTCTTCCTCCTCCTTGAGCGCAGGGCTCCACATGGGGCTGAGCCTGGGCACCAGGTCTCCTGAGGTGGCCAAGGAGAGGACAGAGCAGTGTGTTCTCAGACCATGTGCAGAAGGACAGGAATAATTTCATTTCCTTTTCAGAAACAATTACTCCTGCAGTAGACAATTACTCCTCATGATAAGAAAAATAACAATTTCATCTTTCGATAATGAAGATTTGCCATTCAAAGGAAAGTTAACTTCTCAAAATGTACAAGTTACCTTGAGATTTATTGCCCTTTTAATAAAATTCATATGAAAGAAACAAAGAAAAAATATATATAACGAAAACTGTACTTGTATCTTGAATACTTCATAAGTCATCTGAAGCCTGTGTACTTCAGGTCTCTTCCGATTATGTGATGCTAAGATATAAAGGAAACCCCAGAGGCGAACAGGAAGACCTCAGTCCCGAGCTTCTTGCTCTGCACCTGCTTTGGGGTCCTGCCCTGTGCTTGGTGGATCCCCATCGCCCCCTGCTGTTCCTGAGGGCCCCTGCAGTGAGATTTGTCTCTGGCCTCACATGAACATACCCTCACTGTGTGTCTGGTACAGTAATACAGGGCCGTGTCCTCGGTTCTCAGGTTGTCCATTTGCAGATACAGCGTGTTCTTGCCGTTGTCTCTGGAGATGGTGAATCGACCCTTCATGGAGTCTGGGTAGTACGTGGTACCACCGTCGTTACTACTGTATGAGATCCACTCCAGCCCCTTCCCTGGAGACTGGCTGATCCACTGCATGTAGTAACTACTGAAAGTGAATCCAGAGGCTGCACAGGAGAGTCTCAGGGAGCCCCCAGGCTTCACCAAGCCTCCCCGGGACTCCAGCAGGTGCACCTCTGCGTGGACACCTGCAAACAGAAAGATCATACTCAGGAAACTGTCACACATATTAACTGTTTCTCTCACTCATACACTCAGCATCTCTTGTTTTTCATGAGTTACCTTTTAAAACAGCAAGAAGGAAAACCCAGGTCTTTGTAAATTCCATGGTGAGCAGTCTGTGTTCAGGCCTGATCACCAAATAAGAACACTTGGGCTTCCAGGGCTGGCTCCTCCCCAGAGCTGCAGCGTTAGGGCTGGGCTGGTTTTTATCAGCAGCAGTAGGCCCTATGTGCATGTCCTCCTGCTATATAGACAGTTCTCTTGTGGAAGCTTCATATGTGCAAGGGCCTAGAACACATGAGCGTGTTTTGGGAGATGTTTTTCTAAATACAGTAGAAAATAGTTTCTTCCTATGTGTGTATGTACTGATCAACACTCAACCTCATCAGTTTTCCTTACTTCTATATCTGTGTATAATTAGTGGATTTGATCATTTCATGTTTTGCAAATGTAAACACAGAGCAAGATCAGAGTAGACTTATGAGATGTGAGCTCATATGTTCTAAAAACATCCTTTGTATTCGCTCCTACAATCCTTTCCGCAGTACTCAACTGTAGCCTGAAAAATGGCAAGACAGAGAGGTCATACTTCACAACATTTGCCAGTGCCTTCTTCTAGTGAGAGAACATGACAGAATTTTTGTGCATACTAATATCTTCACAAATAGACAACCAATATTTTTCTAGTGTACATTTAAGAGTCTCACAGTTCCTTTTCTTATCTGTCTATGTATTAATCTTTCCATACTAAAGTTCTTATTTTATATGTACTGTATATTTTAATTTTCATGAAGAAAACTGAGATACATTTCAACACAAATATACAACTTGTTAAATATTGACATAATCATCCCTATGGTCAAGATATGCAATGGAGCAGTACTTATAAATTCTCCTGTAGTTTTTCATCAAATCTCCTTCCTATATTTTCTATTCTATATTATACTAAGATGAAGGAGTTATCCTGCATGTGACAATTCCTGTTCATAGTGAAAATTTTAGCATATTATTTTTATATTACAGTGACAATTATAATAGGTGAATATTCTAAAGCATCTATGTTCTTAAGATTCAAATTTTTGTTTTTTGTATATGTAAGTTTTTACTGTCCTCACACGGAAATTTTCATAAAAAATAATGATATGTATCTATACATATGCACAATCACTGAGAAAGAAAGTTAGCATATTCCATGGACCTGCTCCCAGAGGTGGGAAGCTTCATCTGGCCTCAGAATGATGTCCCTGTGTGTGTGTGTGTGTGTGTGTGTGTGTGTGTCACCAACAATAGAGCCATGACCTCAGCGGTCAGTTTTCACCTTGTTATTGGATATCAACCCAAATAGAGCTGTGCTTCTGGGGGAAAAAGTTATATTCTGAAATTCCAGGAAAAATATCTTCTCATCCTATTGTGTTCTTCCCTGATGTATGAGAAAGTTGAAGACAGTGAGAACCTGAGGCCGTGATGAATGATTCAGACAGTGCAAGTGGTCAGTATAAGCTGCCAGAGCTTTTGCAAGCCAGTCCTGACCCCTGCAGCTCTCTGGACAGGCATGCAAGAAGGAGGTCATCATCATGAAATCACAACAGCCTATCCCTTTCCGGGTGTCCCTTCAACTCTAACCACTGGAAGTGGTCACCTCCTCCAGGAGCCCATCATGTTTCTTATCCATTTGGATGAGCTTTGGAACTTGTACGTTCTCTGCTGGATTGTAAGAGCCCAGAGCTCCTGCCTAGACATACAGGTCCTGCAAAAATCCAGTGCCTTCTGTTGAGCTGTCTAAGATAAGGAAGGGAGGTTTGGAGGAGAAAGACCACCTTCTATAAACATGGCAAGAACAAAGAGGATTTTGCTCCTAAGGGCAGGCTCTTTCCTCCCTGTGGTCCAGTGGCTCTGGAGAGTATCTTCCCTTGACATAGTCAGATTCCTCACCCAAGCTGGAGATGGAGAAGAAGTAGTTGGCGCTGCTCCTGCTGTGAGATCCAATAATGATTCTATCGACATTATGACACAAAGAATGTATATTATCGGAATAGTAGATATAAATTACAATTACAGTCTTTTCCCCTGCCAGGCAGGGTGGTGCACACCTGTCATTCCAGCTCTCTGAGTCCTGAGGTAGGGAATCACTGTGAGTCCCAGAGCAGTCTGGCCAACATAATGAGGTCAAGGCGAGCTGAACTGCATAGCAAGACCCTATCACAAAAGCAAAATGCAAAAAACAACAAAAAAAAAACAGTGAAAATAATCCTTGTTCTTGTAAGTGGTCACACAACCATAGCTAGTGTTTATAATTACATTTTTCTACGACCCACTCTGTGTTACCCTGGCCTTCAGCAACCACCTCAGCCACTCATGGCTCTTTTCCTGCTGGATTGACTATATCTTCATTTCTGAACTTCTAGAACGTTGTCATCCTGTTTGGATTTGGTTTTTATAATTTCTCATTGACCTTAATAGTAGATCACACAAGGAGTTGCCCTAAGGGACCTTCTGAACTCTAAGTATATTCTTTCTTTTCTACACTGTGAAGTAACTGTCCAATTTCCCTTTGATAGTCTGGATCAATCACTATCACTCTCTTTTAAGTTTATTTCCCCAGAGGCATAAGGAAATCATTTTGAAGCATTTTGAGCCAGCCCTACAAGTTGTTTTTATATAACTGGTGCTGTAACTGCATCTTCAAAAGCCATTCCTATGCCTCATTTCTTTGAGCACCCGCATTCTGCTTTTGAGTATGTCCTATATCTACCTCTAATAAAATTTTCTCATGTCTCTCTCTAAAAAAAAGAACAGATGAATAGGCTGACATGCCTCTTCACAACAGCCACTCTACATTCTAGGGTTCAGTTTTTATTTTGATTTTTCCTTCCTTTTTACTTGGCCCAAACTTGCTAAGAGCCCTTTCTTTCCCTCTATGTCTCTGGGTTTTTTCCCACCTTTAAAAATTCTGAAACATTGTCACCATTAAAAAAGGAAAAGTTTGAATAAAAAGCAGGAATTCTATATCACTTGGAATGCTATGAAGAATGCTCAGCTGTGTATATAAATCTCATCTGAAACTCCCAAAATTATAATGAGAAGAGGTAAAGAAATCTTTTAGCACTTATTGAACCTCAAAGTAATTGGGGCAAAGTGATTCCAGAGAACTTGGGTCTCCCAGAAGTGCCACTATGCACCAATGAGACAAAAATTCTACAGAAAGGTGAAGATCTTTGTTGGCAATCACTTTCAGAAGATCTGATGGGATGGAGGAAGACTCAGAGGAAGAACTAGCTATCATTCATGGTCAGATGGCCTACGTTCTATAGCTTCAGGGTCACAGAGAGGAGGCTTTGCAGATTCACAATCAGATAATAAAACTTAAGCCAAACGATGTGGGATTATGAGCTATAATTACAAATAGTATAATTACCATTAGTAAGGACTAAACTGTGTTTAACTCTAAGAAGGTGAAATTAACCAACACCGAGGAAGCAGAGTTTAACCTTTCCAAGAAACAACTGCCAGCTATATTATTCCACAAAGCTTCCCTTGCTATATACACAAATGAGGCCAAATAATATCACAAAATATCTGCTGCTTTACAGTTCCAAAATCCTGAGCATCTCCTGCCTGTATTAACCCAAGCTACTTAACTCTGCTGGTAAACCCACTCACAAAATCAATAGAGCTGCTCCAGGAATTTTCAGAATAGCATCCAGAAAATGCAGCTGAAATTACACTACCATGGCAGAGATGAAAATTTCTCAAGTTACTATTTTCCAAACATGTCTAATAGTCATGAATTCACATCCCTGCCACATGGACTCTTTGTTCATAAATGTATTGAGCAATGATGAGGTGGCTGAAAGAAATAGTTGACTGCTGTCCACAGAACTAGTCATCCTACACACATGATGACGACGATGATGATGATGGTGATTTGGTTTTTTTTAGCAAGGTATGGCTATTCAGTTCATGCTGTCCTTGAACTCACTATATACACCAGTATGACTTTCAACTTGAAGCAATCCTCCTGACTCTGCCTCCTGAGTGCTAGGATTATAAATGTGTGCCACAATGCCCAGCTTATGTAATTACTAAAATCCTCTTGTGCTGAGGTCACTTCCTGGTGAGTGTTTACACGGGATGCAAATATCTTTATATTATTTGTTTCCCCATTTGTAGAGATCTACCCACATATCTCTATATCAGATATCTTTGTCAACAATGTTCCTTCAAAATCTCTGACCATTCAGTTAAATCATTGGCTACAGCCCATGAATCAGCATATAGTCTCACATATGGCCATATTTTCTTCCAGGAAAATATACTACCAAGTGTATTACCCAAAGGTCTGCCCATTGTGAAGATTTCCCTTCATCACTTTCCATCAGGGACATCCTGAAATGGGGTTATAATTCTGCAGCTGACTATTTGTGTGTGATGCCTGTAAAATATACAGAACTATCTGTAAACTAGGCTCTAATCTCCTCTTCCTCTTCAGCTGAGCACCTATTACATTTCTTGAGGCCATAAGTGCATGCTGTTAAGCCAGAGTTTAGAGTAGGGGAAGGAGCCCAGTGGCATTTTGGAAGCTTCTTCATGGAGCTTGCGTTTGCCCTGTGGGTCTGCCCTGCCTTGATCGTGTATATACCACTTCTCTTTCATGATGATTTGTTGCTGTGCATGTCTAACTGTATGATTTAGTGGATCAGTAACATCCAGGTCAAAATGGGCAGCTTAGGTCACATGGTAACCTGGTGTCCCTTCTTCAAGCATTCAATATCCAGTAAGGCCAGTAACAGGCCAAGAGCAGCCTTTCAAATGGAGAGAAGTTGTGTGCAGGTGATGAAGAAACCTTGCTCCAAATCCTAAAGGCCTCTGCTGTTAATTACCTATGGAATCTGGCCAGAGAAACCAAACACCATCCCTCTCTGCCACTGACACACCAAATACCATTGGAGCTGCTGCATCATATGGTCTCAGTGGCAGAGCAGTCTACACACCAGCCTGGACCAGTTGCAGAGCCTGTTCTCCTTCTGGACCTCATTCAACCTTGCACTTTTCTGATTCATTTAATAAACATGCTATAACAAAACACCTAAGTGAGGCATGTGTTGGTTCCAGAATCCAAATGGGCCCACTAGACTTTATGTGTCTGCTTGTAGGAGGAGACAGATGTGACAACTTATCTTTCACCTTAGAAGAGATATCTATGCATGCCCCAGTGGACTTCTAGAAATTTCACTGAGCTACAATGATCTTTAACTTTGGTTGGATTTATTTCCCATCTTGTTGCTTGCACATGCTTTACTACTAAGTCTAGAGTGTTTTCTGAATTCTTCTTACGTGGTCTAAACAGCAAGATATCATCAATGTAATGAACCAGAGTGATACCCTGTGGGAGAGAAAGGTGATCAAGATCCTTGGGAACTAAACTAAGACACAGGGCTGGAGAGTTAATATCACCCTGAGGTATAACAGTGAAGGTCTTAGATTGCTGGTCTTGCAATCCAAAAGTTAATTATTTCTCTTGTGCCTTATGGTTGGTGTGGAGAAGAATACATGTATCACATCAGTAGCTATATACCAGGTCCTACATGATGTGTTAATCTGCTCAATGAAAGAAATC